GTAATGCATTTATTCGTAAACTCGTATTATCTCCACATCGAATCGAAAATTCTTTTCGATCGTTTCACGCGATCGAATTGTTCTTTTACCCGCGTATCCCATGGCGGGATACGGCCGATTTCTAAATCATAATGCATACCGATATCGTCGATCATGCGGTTCGAGTTATCCAGCCAAGATATTAATAACCATCATCCATAGCGATTACGGTTCTCCGTGAACGATGAATAGCTGTCCATTCGACATCGGCCGGTACCCGTTCCCACGATAAACGTCGTCGTTTTCAATAATCCTAACGTTTGAAGGGCGTTGCTCGCCGATCCAAGTCGCTCGTTCATACCATCTTGGGGCGAATGACGAGTTCTCGAGTTGAAGATAGCTCCTTTTTCGAAATATATTCGCACGCGTATCGAGTGACGGTGAGGTATACAGGGTATCCCCTCTTAAAGCGGGGATCCTCAAAAATTTGAAATTTTTCACACGCGAAATTATTCGAAATAAAAGTTGAAAAACTATCGAAAATGAAATGGTTATATAAGAAGATTCAGATAAGATGGGAGTTTAATTATTGAAGAATTTCATGAAAAGAAAAAAAAAAAAAAAAAAAAAAGAAAAAGAAAAGAAAAAAAAAACTCAAAAGTCTTTATTTCTTCGTGAATAGCGATTAAACGTAATTACGATCTGCGAATGCACAAACGAGGCTTGAGAACGGGTCGTTAACGATTCATTTACACAGGCTAACGCAGAGATTTAAAATAGTTAACCGCATAGGACGCGAGATAAAAATGATTATTACGATAATGGAAATGCATAAAGTGATGCAACTCGCGCCGTACGTACGAGCATCGACTTTATAAATCGAATTCTGTGGACGAACGTGGACAAATCAATTAACCGCTTCGTCGTTAATTTGAGTACCTCATAACGTGATGCATTTACTCGTGACGTGTACACGTGTCGTCTGGCCATTTAAGCGCGTTTACAATTACAAATCGTGCAGGAGACACCGACATGCCTGTTGACGGCATGTGTTGCTCGCGCTTTCGCTTTTACGGAAATCTATTAGGTTATTCTATAAATAATATACGTTCTGAAAAAAAAAAAAAAAACACTCGTTATATCATTAATCCACGATATATATTTTCCTCTTATCTTTCAAAACTTTCAAATTCTCTACCCACGATCGTTTTCATTTCACGATCCTCCGATTATTCTTAAAAAAAGAAAGAAAGAAGAAAAGCCAGCATCGATGTATGGTTTTCTCGCGTCGCAAGATTTCAAAAATCTTGCACGATCTCCAAGAACTCGAGAAATATAAAATATAAACGCGACGTGAGACGCGTGACACGAAACTCGTTCGTTGCTTGCTTGTTCGATCGATTGATCTTATATTCGGACGATCCTTTCTTAATGTATAAGCACGTTGTATAATAGAGGAGAAGAAAGAGAGAGACTTCAAAGAATACAACAGATATTTTGGACGATGGCCATTTGGACGTCAAAATCGCGCTCGGTCGATGGTCCTCTGATGGCTCAATCCAGGCTTTTCGATAAATAAATACGTTCTTCGTTCGAACGTCTATTATTGTTAATTAACCGGTTCCGTCTAATAGGATTAACGCGCAATAAATCACGTTTATTCCGCGCGAAACCGATATTACATTACGATCGGTGTACATAAGCGGACGTTTTAATGAAAACGTTTGGAAGAATTGCACGGAATCGTACGAAATAATTAGAAAATGGATACAGCTCGATTACGATTTTCACGATCCAAGGATATACAGATTTTCCACGGATCGATCCATCACGATGATTAAATGGATCAAGGGAAGGACCTGGATCACGAACCTCGCTCTTCTCTTCCCTTATCGTATTTCTCATTATTATTTCTCCAGAAAAGATCAAAGGCCAATTACCGTCTCGTCCAATTTCGACAAAAAACAAACAAACAAACAAACATTTTCAAA